TTCGTCGAAAATTAGGTACAACGTAGAAACGAGCTTGTCATGCATTGATGCACACATGGATATACGTACGTCAATTTTTATAGTTAACACAATTATTACAATTATCCGATGCATTTTCACGACAATTCTTTCGCTAATTGCATTCGAGCACGGAAATATTTATTTTATTCACGTATATAGATATATATATATATGTTTCCTCAAAAATATTGAAAATTTTCTTCAGCTTTATTTTATTATTATCATTATTATCGTGGCTTAATTCTTGCCTGGTAATAACGTCTTAACGAATACGCCTGCGCATGCCAAGCATCGTAAATTATTGTGAGAAAAAGAACGAAAGTGTGTCTTAGAGAGAGAGAGAGAGAGAGAGAGAGAGAGAGAGAGAGAGAGAGAGAGAGAGAGAAGACGAGAATAATTCGGCACAGTAAAAAAGTAGTGCTCGTTAAAAAGTATCGCGTTCTGCAGTGGAACAGAAAGTAGAACGATTTCGAGATTCTCCTGTTTTTAGAAACGTCATTCTAATGCGTCTTGTTGCAGCAGTCAGTTTCGAGGAACGTTAACAAAGATACTGGGAATTTGCCAATTTTCCCTACATTTTTTTTTCTTCCTCTCTCTCTCTCTCTCTCTCTCTCTCTCTTTCTCTAACGTTTTAAACTAATTCGTACCAAAATTTTCGCGTACATATTACCATAAATTAAAATATATTTTAATTAGTCCGGTGAGAAAATCTTTGTAAAAAGATAAGAGATAAATGGATTATCTCTCTCTCTCTCTTTCTCTCTCTATCTTTCACATTTTGGAGATATGAAGTTAGATAAAGAGTGATTTTTTATTTTAACCTCCTAAATAAATTTCCATATACTATTGTTATATATTAAAGTAATATTTAAAATACATTTAAGCTGTTTAAATTATAAAAAATGTTTATAGAATGACCTGATGTATGAGATGGATTTCTCTCTCTCTCTCTCTCTCTCTCACTCTCTCATTCTGGAGACACAAAGTTAAATTAACGGATGATGGATTTTCTATTTTTATTATTTTGAAATTTATTTATGCCGAGTAAATAGAGTAATTTTAATTATTTAAAATAATGATTTTATGTCATACATTTCCTAAGGATTTTGTAAAAATTTTTCCACCGTATACTATTTAGAAAAGAGCTTTTCTATATTATACCTTAGGATTTGTATATGCTTTCAACTAAACTGAAAACCTAACTTAACTTTGAGAGTTGCTTACTTTTCCTTCTACCGACTGAATCTTCCGCTTGGAAGGGGAAAAAAAAAAAGAAATTCCTTACCGCATTACTATTCCATTTAATTTTTAATTTATAATAAATGTATATTCAGCGATATTTAAAAGAGTTCATTGTGGAAGTAATTGCGTATATAATACTCCGATAATCTTCTTCTTCCGTATAAATAGTAAATGAAGAAGAAGAAAAAATAAAAAAAAGAACAGGAAAAGAAATTAAATTTCACGGAATAAAAATATTTTTTTTTGTTAAATCCGTGTAATAAAGTAAGTGTGTTTTTCTTACTTTTTTTTTTTTACAAACGTATCGTGGAAAAATAAGAAGAAAAAAAAAGGGAAAGAAACTCTATGAAAAAAAAATATATCGCCATTGAAGGTTTCGCCATTAGTCCGATAACTTGCAATTTTCCACGTTAAATGGTATAGGTTGGAAGAAGACACGGAACGAGGTAAACTCTGGGTCCATCCATCCGGCAAACGTTTCCATCGAGTTCCATCCCCCTTCTTCCTGTACCTTCCTGAACGAGGAGGAGCCAACGAGCGTGTAAAACGCGTAGGACGATCTTTCCGCTCGGCTAGACAGCGCAATATTTGTTATCGGAGTTTCGTCATGAAAGCTCTTCGTCTAGGAATGAGGCAGCGTACGTGAAAATATTCCCGATGGACCGGAAGCTTGATATAAAAAAAAAAAAAAAAAAAAAAAAAAAAAAAAAAGAAAGGTAAGAACAAAAAGAATAGTTTGTCAAAAGTAAAGGAAAGTACAGAGTAAAAAAAAAAGAAAAGGGAAGGAAAAGTAGATAAAAAAAAAAAGAATACGAGCAGGTTTTCTACACTTTGCTCGGAAAACTGCATAGCGCAAGTGCAACTCGGCTGTGTGTGTGTGTGTGTGTGTGCTACGAGGATGCAATTGCAACGAATTTACGTCACGAGAGATTCCGGGAAAAGCCATTTAATCTCGTCCCAGTCGATGCTGGAAGTTTTACGAAGAGTATACGAAACGTACAGTACAACAAAATGTCTATGCGTTTGTGCGTTTGTCTGTTGCTGTTGCTGCTGCAGTTGTTGCTGTTTCCTTTCCTCTGTACGTACGTATGTATGTATGAACTTTGTATGCATGTACATATAGGCGGCTAATGAGAGCCCAGGTCGTTCTGTTTGACGCGACTATTTATTATTAAGGCGACTCGTGTTCAAGGGAAAGGGAAAGGGAAAGGGAAAGGTTTGAAAGGCGACCGACTTCACGAGCCTTAATTACTTCTGTCGGTCTTTTGAAGCTCCCGCTAGAACCCCTTATTTCGTCGTTGATGATCGCATAATGATGATTATTATTATTATTATTATTATTAATGTTATTATTATTATTATTATTGTTGTTATTTTTATAATTATTACTATTATATGTTTTTCTCTTTTATTTATTCTTAAACTCTTTGTTTTTTTTCTTTTTTTCTCCCCCCCCCCCACCTCCCGAAAGAAAAGAAATAGGAATGAGAAAAGATGGACGAGAAGACGCGCGTAATTTGGGATACGAACGATCAAAGGAGAAGCGCTTTTGCTCGTGACTTAAGTTTGCCACCTACAACGGCGAGAATAAGAGGGAAAAAGAAAGAAAGAAAGAAAGGAAAAAATAATATGAAAATAGAAAGAGAGAGAGAGAATAAAAGAAGAAAGATTCTTCTTCTCCTCCTCTTCTTTCCACCCAACTCCTTTCCCTTTTTCTACCTATTCCAATTAGATCTTTTTTAATTAAAACATTCCACGTTTTAGCAATTTCTCACGGGAATCAACCACAGGCAAGAATGAAGACTTGAAATTGTTTTCGCAGATGGAATTTGATTCGCTTTATCGAGTATCGTATTCTATTTTTTTTTTCATTTTTATTCTTACAAGAGAAAATTGAGAATAAATTTTGTCTCAATCTCGCACTTTTTTCCCTTTCTTTTTCCCTCTTTCTTTCTTTCTTTCTTTCTTTCTTTCTTTCTTTCTTTCTTTCTTTCTTTCTTTCTTTCTTTCTTTCGATATCTTTTAATATTTATTTTAATCAACGTAGACTAAAGATTTGTTCGTGATATACATCAGTATGCGAGTTTAAGGTCGCCAGACGATTAATAATCAGAAAGCAGTGAATAATCATGAATCCAATCGTTTGTTCGAATCGCCTTTGGAAAGATGGGCAGCAGTAAAAGTAAGAGAGAGAGAGAGAGAGAGAGAGAAATAGAAAGGTAGAGTTAAAACCCTTGGCACATTAGCGCCAACGCAATTGGTTCATCAATATTAATAAGAGATCGTAACTGGACAGTGGACGGGCATTGATTGGTCAGCCAATTTGCCTAGCGGCTAAGTTTTTTGCGCGAACGCTTAACATTTTCTTTTCTCTTATTTTTCTATTTTGAAACACGAAAAGAAATAGAAGAATGATAAAAGTATAAAGGGTGTAGGTAAAGACGTATATATATATATATATGAGGGAACGATCATTGGGTATTAATGATGGACGCGTCAAGTATAAAATCTTGCCTAAGGGGATTTATCAATGAGTTGAAACCTTTAAAAGTGTCTTAATGGGAAGAGTAATTCTATCTTCATACGCATAACGCATTACGCGAACGATTCGAAACTTGATTAGTATCTCATGGTTATACCTATAATCGTTATACGTTATTTACCGAAAACGGGGAGTGGGGACGAGGACGGGGACGGGTTGGATTTCTACGCTGGTAGAACAAATTTGTATCGATAAAGTTCTTGTTACGACTATGGTAAATAATAGAAAACGATCGAATATCTAGTTGAAATTTCAATGTATATCTGGTAATGAAAAATATGCGATAAAGATTGGATAGTATCGATGTTTGTATAAGATTTAATTGAAAAATTGTCTGTAACCGTGGCGTTAGACGAAGAATTTGAATATTCGTGATTATAAAAGGAAAAAAATATGGATTGACGATGATTGCCAATGAACGGGAATATTCTTTCGATCGAGAATTTTAATCATTTCGAAAATACCGTGTTATTTGATAAAATTAATTAGGATAGGTGCAAAACTCAAACTCAAGAGTGATTTAAAATAAGACGAGCTTCGAGAGAAAATCGATTTTGATGGATGAGAGAGGATAACGTTCTAACGAAGGTAATGGCTCGTTCTTCGATTGGAGACCCAGTCCAAAAGCTCCTTCCTAAAGCTTCGAGATAGCTTTGGCTAACCGTTGAACGGATTCGACGATCTCTAAGGTACGTCTGGGTTCAGGCTACCGACAAAGTGGCAGCTTCCAACGGTACGAAATTAGCTTACGGTTTCGCGATAAGCCGTTTACATTAATCCCTCCAGTCGGTCTTCGATTCCTTCATCGGTGGCCAGTAAACTACAGAACGAACGTACCCGATGCTTTGAGCTTCCACCATGCGAATTGCGTCTGCTTTTCAAAGAGGCTAACAGTTACTCTACTTTCTCAAGAGAATATAATTAGATGTACACTAATGAGTGTTCTCTATCATGGTTATCCCAGTTACCAATTAACGAAGATATTACTCTCTAAACAGGATTATTGATATCTTCGATTATATTTCAAGCATATGACGCAATGTATTAAGCCTCTTCGAACTGTTTTATGACCGAATGATCACAATCATTTCACTCAAATAGAATGTTATTACTAATGATCATTTAAATCGTTTGTGTAAATCAAACGTTCAAAGAAATTTCTTACGTACTGTAATAACGATGCCAAGGAATTTACCTCTTGTCCTTTGATGTCCCTGTAACGAACCCATTTGCCCAGTCGTGGTCGCCAATATTCTAGAAGATAAGCCTCCGAGTACTCGACACCCTGTCCGTTTCCAAAACGACCTTGAGTAGCGGTGGCAGTGATAAGATGGACAGTGTGGAGATCAATTTCCAACCACTCTTTCGCTTCCTTTGTGATCTGATTCTTCGGACACCAAGCACCACCGAGGCTCTCCGTTTTCAATCTAAAATCAATAGATCCTTTAGTCAGTTATGGTTACATGTTAACGCGATCAATGAAATGTTCTTCTACAGAAGGCTTAAATAAATCATTACAGTTCCGGTCTATTTGAACTTAGGAAAGAGACAAAGATAATGTAAGAAACGATATAAGTTAAATGGTATTAATTAACGATTGACATTTCAGACAGAAGTAACTATAATTAGGTATTACCGATTCTCTCTCTTTATAAGGATTTTCGAATCGGCAGACCCTAGTTATCGAGATTTCTGAGTTGTGAAGACCCTAAAGTCTTATTTTTGGGATTCTCTTTTCATGTCCATCGAAACGTTCGAAATCACTTATCCTTCGTACTATTGAAGAAACTCTTTTCTCGAACCCCACATCAAGTAAGAATTTGGAAGAGAGAAGATGAGAATGAAAGGGGAAAAAAAGAGAGAGATAGGGAGAGGGCTGGAGAATCGGAGTGTGTCGTTGCCGGCACGGTTATAATCTTTTGGAATGGGAAGGATAGCAGAAAGCAAAGCCAAGGAGAGAAGGTTGGCAGGGATGGAGCATGAATAAAAGATGAACCGTGAAGCGCCTTCCCTAATTGCGTGGACCGTTTAAACGCTCGACTAAGAACGAGGGAATCCTCGTTCGATGCAACACGTACACGAAAATCGTGCGAATTTGCCTGTATATCCAAAGGTATATATATATATATATATAGATATATATATATATTTGTAGAGAAAGCGGGCTGCATTAATGAGCATCATTGGTGCTGGAAGGATCATGAACAAGGAAGGATGCAAAGGATCAGAACACGTCCGTGATCAGGATACCAGAAACTTTCTGTTTTCAGATTTCATTACCAAACGATTGGATTTAAATTCTCATTCGGTCGCAATTTGTTATTAAGCGAATTTGATAAGTGTCAAATATTATTTGAAATACGTTTAAAAGTTATATACAATAAATCATTAACGAATTCGAAACAAAATTTGATTTTATATTTATCTTATTTAAAACGAATATTATATGTATTTTTTTTTTCCTTCCGACGTATACTATCAGTTGAAATTATCTGTGTAACTCAAAAATATAATAGATTAATAATGAAACATTAGTTAATGACAATACTGTTCAATGTCCATTTTAAAATGGTATCTTTACAAAATATAGGATATTATTAGGTTAAAGGCAAAATTCTGATTTTCCCTCGAGATCCATTCAATTCATAAACCATGCAGCCCAGTCATTTTACAGATACACAGAATCGATTCGTCTTTTATCTCTAACAGCAGTAATTAGCATTTTCGCTTATCTCTAGCTATGTCATACTGTCGACTCGCTCGCGATCACTTATTTCTGTCCACGTTGCAATTCGGTTAATTCCAAAGAGATTGGTAGAATCATTGGCGTGTGTGTGTGTGTGGGTGTAAAGCTTTGCCGACGAGGGGTATAGTAGAGAGATGGAATAAGTTCGATAATGGACGATTTAGCTATGAGAGTTGAACGTTTAAAACGCCGTGTTCCGATAATTCGAATTTTTCATTAACTTTGCTTGGATATATTGTCGGTATCTAATAAGTGAAGTCTTTCTAACTGTCAATTTCATTGCGAGTCTTTCGGTTGCATAATGTAATGTACGCGTTAAAGAAAGAAAGAGAGAGAGAGAGATTGCTGGGTAATTTCAGACGTGTTACCACTTTCCCCTTTTCGAATCCAGAATTATCTGCGGGTGGAAAATTAACTGCTCGTGAGAGTGTCTTTCTCTCTCTCTCGGTTTTTTTCCGTCTGTGTTTCGCTCAATTTAATGCCATCCGTCCATCCATCCATCCGTCCGTTCGTCCTACACGTCAGTCCGTTTATCCGACACGGGGGAATGAATTTTCGAATGGCACGGTATGAGAGTGTCCCACGTAAAAAGCGATACCTCTGATCGTCCTTTTTAGCTTTACAGGGACCACACACCTCGATATCTTCCCTTTATTCTTCTTATTGTTTTTATTCTTCTTCCTCTTTTTCTTCCTCTTCCTCTTCCTCTTCTTTGCATCTTCTTCTAACGCGTATCCGAGAAAACTTAGTTATAAATAGAATCGTACTTGTCTCGGCTGGCTAAACGCAAACTGTCTTTTACATGTACTTTCATTTTAATAACGCGAAATTACATTTATCTAACATGCATTATACGCGTATATACAACACGAGAAACATTGGTATTAACTTTCACAAAAAGTGTTCGTGCGTGCGTGAGTGCATGCGTGAGTATGTTTCCTGTAGATAAATATTTCTTTTTCGATCGAAATGATATTGATTTACAACTGTTATGATGATTTCAAAGATAACAGGAAATACAGATCGTAATTTATTCTTTTCTTTTTCTTTTTTTGTCTAATAAAAAGAAAAAAAAAGAAAAAGAAAAAGAAAACGAAAGAAAAGATATTTTTTTCTTCTCGGTGCTCGTCTGAGAAACGCAAAACCAGTCTGTCGAAGCTACTTGTTATCGATAAAGAGATGCTTCCAGGTCGCGCAGGTTGTAAATCTCGTGAAAGGAGATCCCGCCAGTTATAACGACGACCGGTCCACCATAGGATAACAAAAAAAGAGAGAAAAGGTGATGCGAAAAAGGAGTCGTTATCATTCTCGCCTCAGTTGAATGTATAACTCGATTATTAATTCCTAGTGAACCTGATTATCAGTAAGAGGTAAGACGTATACGACTAGTCTTAGACGTCATTTAATACTAAGAAACGTTTAAAACGATTTTTTTGTCTATTTTTTTTCTTCGATTTATCGTGATCAATCATTATTTTTTTTTTTTATCTCCATAGTGAAGGTAATCCACGTATGACATAGAAGTGAATGATTGTCAGACGATACATTTAACCATATCAATTTATTTCAAATGATTTAGTATCGATCTTACAGTTTATACGACAAAAATACGAGCATAAATAATTTATTCGTTTCCCTGGAGTGTTGCTAAAAATACGAACAAAAGTTAACGGAGTTTACCATTTACGAATTTCTGTTTTTGTTTTATTTTCGAATAAAATGTCCGTACGAATTGAAGAGCTTTCTTCTTCTTCTTCTTCTTCTTCTTCTTCTTCTTCTTTTTCAGTCGTTTCTCTTCAGTAATAAACGTTATCGTGGCTATGTTTCTAAAAGTGAGACTGTATAATCTTTTTTTTAAAGAGGCTTTTCGTTATTTCCGTTGTTCTTATTTTTGGTCTCTTATTTAAAATACTGAAAAGAGTCTCTTGATTGCACGTTACGATCGTACTTTTTACAAAAACGACATTGGCCACTCCTATTTCCCTCTTGGAAGATGCAAAATCGAAAATGAGATTCACATTGGTATCATTTGAAGCGATTGCTAAGTGCATAATTGCTCTCGATTCCACAAGACTCGTACAAGTTCTTTACGAAATTGCTTGGTGAATCGAATTGGAACTGGTATCCCAACGCGTATGCACGAGTTTCTACGGAAATAAAGTCGTTATCCATAAATTGCTATCGTTTAACGTTATGTATATTTGCAGAAAACGATAAACGATATCTTGGTCAGGTGTTGAAATAAGAAGCAAGGAAGAAATTTGCGCTCGTTTGCGCAAACGACGATGATAGTTCGTTATATCGGATGTGGCAAAATAAAACAAATAAATATTAAAGAGAAAATGATCACGTTAAAGATAATTATGTCAAAGATTATTAATAATTAGTTATCTAAGAAATAATTATTTTATGATAGAAATGAAATTGTTGGATTTGATTGACAATAATTCACGGAACTATATATATATATATATATATAT